TAATTTTTGTATTTTTAGTAGAGACGGGGTTTCACCTTGTTGACCAGGATGGTCTCAATCTCTTGACCTTGTGATCCACCCACCTCGGCCTCCCAAAGTGCTGGGATTATAGGCGTGAGCCACCACACCCGGCCAGCAATTTCTCTTTACAAATATTATCATTTATGTGGCGGAGAATGATAATCAGAAACTTACATGATAATTATATATGTAAGATTAGAAAATACTTAAATCTTGTGCGTTCATTGTAAAAATGTAGAAACCAAGATTGGGGGGATTAAGCAGTTTATCCAAGACTATATAACTAGAGAGGAGCTCATTAATGGAAATGTTTGTTATAACCACTTACATTTTGTTAGATGCTATGCAATAAAAAATTCCACTGACATGCTCCATAAAGGCAAACACATGCTAATAGTTATACATACAAACTGGATATCAGGGATATTCACACTTAAGGTTATGAACAATGAGAAAGGTATGTATTGAGAAGGGGTGATAGATTCAAGTCATTAAACCTGCTGCAAAAGTCAGTCTTCAAGTGGTGCCCTCAAGAACCCCAAAGATCTTACGTACTATCCTGTCTTTCTAATCCCATTTCTTTCCTCTATAATGAAAGCCTTTAATTATCATTTGAATTCCAGGATGAACTCCCGGTGTTATTTTCAAGTACCTCCATCATCTGGTTTTGCTCAGTTACATAATACCCATTCCAATTGCTTCTCAAATGAATATTAAAACTAACCAGGCCTACCTCATTCCTTTTCCACAACCACTGAGTTTATCTGGAGTCTGTACGGTGTTCATACTTCATTCTTTCATTAGGCCCTTTCCTCTGTTCTTCACCTGAGGATATCCTTTGCACTTTCCAACTCAAGCCCCAACTCCTCTGAACCTTGTTCTTCAAAACTTCAGTGCTAACAATAATCAGTACCTTCTATGAGCTCATATTTGTATTGCATTTTAGCATATTAATTGCCTCAGATTACTTTTAAACTATTTTACTTTATCTGGGGTATCCTGTCTCTCCATCCTTATAGAATAGTATTTAATGGCACCTGAATATAGGCCCATTTTAAAAGCTTCCCAGTGAAATTGCTGCAGTTAAAGAGTATTGGATGACTCAGTTACTACTTTTTAAATGATCTCTTCCAACATGCAATACTGAGAGAAAAGAAGAGGTAGATGTGACTCTGGTGGTGGTGAAGTGGGAAGAGAAGGGGTTCGGAATTAGGGTTGGAGCGCAGGTTATTTTGTTCTTCAGGCTCAGGGAAGATAATAGATGGACTCCTGGACTTTTTATTACTGTGTCATCATCGGCTTAGGAAATACCTCTCACAAGGATGAGGTAGGTGTGGTTATTTCTTAGGGGATCTAAAATGCCAAAGATTTCACTGAAAGCATGCTTTTTCTTTCAGCTTGTATGAATTTTTTAGTTATTTAAATGCCTTTGTGTAACATATATCTGTAATTGAGACAAAGTGATCAGATTCTTCATAAAAACTCAGAGTAAAGAATCATTTTGGGATTAGCACAAATCAGATACATTTGAGTACATGTGGAGTATTACCTCATGAAGAGGGAAAAAATGGAAATCTACTTGCAAAACATCACACTTCAGCAGGGCTTTCTCATCAGCGTATGGGGTGGTACATAGTGCCTCAGGTAATTGGAGCTCCTTTGACTAACCTCAGGATATTTTAACAAACATTCCCATTTTTAATGTGTGTCTTGAAATGTAGGGAAGCACTGCATTACAGAGATTATTTCTTAAATAACTTCTGCTTACAACCAGTTCTGACTTCATTTTTTCCTACTTACATTCCCTAGCATATTTATACTAAAATTAAATTGAAAGAGTATTCACATACAATTCCATGACAAATGTACTATAGCAAGTAAAGTCCAGAGAATTGAGGCATGAATGTTCTCGTGAGAATTTTGTTTGCATTAATCACATATATCTTTTTACAATGCATTATTGAATTCCCAAGAAAAGTTTCTTGCCTTTTTCATCACCATCTTTATAAACGTCCCACTGCTCACAGAAATCTGTGTATCACCAAATGACCCAGAGGACATCAAAGCATACAGTCAAAGAGATTCAACCTTATTTCCTTAGAATAAGCACAGTTCTAGAAGACATCCTCTTCTCCCCACCATGACTTCCCCTTACCCTACTTTCCCACCAACTGTCACTCCATTTGCTCTACTGATAGCTGAGCATCATTTAATGGGCAAAGCTTTCATTTTACAAAATATAGGAATGTGCTGGGATCAGATACATGGATCTTAAGCGCATTTTAAAAACATATTGACATTCTTTGTACCAAATTTTTTTCTAAAAAGCTTTCTTCATCAGATATTTTACTAAGATATGATTTTGATAAGGGAAGACTTGGTATATCATGAACATACACATGTTTTAAAGAGCTTCCTTTGGAAACGTGAAAGGGGAAATAGAGAAGCAACAAACACGAGGATTTTTTCATGAGTGATTGCCTAAACTATGTTTATAATGCTTCAGAGATGACTATTCTAGCAACGCTCACTGCCTAAATTTCAAGTTTTATAACCTGGAATAAGGAGATACAAATAGAAATACTTTTCCAACATAGAGCCCGTAACAAAATTATTTTTCTTTAAATTGATATGACACCCCCTCACCTCCAGCTACCATTTTACTATATAGAATCCTACTTCTTAGCCTTTAGGCAAAATGTGGAACATAATAGTTCTAATTCATATCACAAACTTCTGAGCAATATTTGAGGCAACATATTCATACCTCGTCAGGGTTATTGCTTACCTCATACTTCATCAGTGCACCCCTAAACCCCAAAAGCTAACCTTGCTCTTACTTTCTGAGCTCTAGAGATGTTCTGAATGTCAAACTCTAAAAGGAAGATGACACTGAACTCTGACTATGGAAAAAGCAAAAGCAAACTGATCTAAGGCTTTGCTCATTTTGTTTTGAAGCAATAGTAGCCATGACCTCATGATTTTCTCACCACAAAGTTATCCACTGATTTAATTTCCATGAAACAGGCCTGCTGGGCATTCCTAATGTATTTAGATAAGCTGATTTCATACAGATGGGATTTGCTGTCAGTCAAAGGGATGGATATCATTGACCTTACAAATTAGAGGGAAGGATGAAGGGAGGAATATGCTTAGTGTTGGCTTAAAAATAGCTACCCTTTCAAAGATCTTCTCCTTAGTAAACATGTGAATTAAAAGAAGCTGTAAAACTGATTCAGTAATTTTGACAGAGAACAACCAGTTTGTTAACGCTTACAATT